GGTTAGATGCAGTCCACGCTCTTGTAATACCCACTGGACACCAATATTTGACAGTAGAAAATAGAAGAAACAGGAAAATCTCTTGCCATTAAGATCAAAAGAGAGTGAGCGTACACTTTGACATTTCTCCTTTCCTGCAAGGAGTCCCTGTTTTGCAAAGCAAATTCCACCATGTTATCCTTGAGCTCCTGCAGAGGAAAGATAAAAGGTGAAAATCTGGCGCTTTGAAAGTCAACATCCAGCTTCCTACCAGCTTCAGGTGAGTCAGGTTTGAGCCATGGTTTCCTGTAGGAGAAACGGGGCCACTCCAAAGCACACTCCTCAGATCCTTGGGAGCCCAGTGTGCTGCAAAGGCACCACTGCACCTCCCAGAGGGTTACGTACCAGGTAACTGCGAGAGGACCACAGCACAGAGCCCAAAAACCTTCCTATATAAGTATATAACAAAAGCACTGAGCCCCAACCAACCACAGCCATTAGGTCTACACGAGGTGCCTCATTTACAGTGACCAGTAATATCTGGCATGTAGTTTAAGTCCCTGTGGAGTAACTGGTGATTCTATAGAGGACAGCAAGGCGTTTTACAGCTGGGAGTTTGTACGCAGGCATAAAACATCTCTGGTTTTTCACATTTGGCAGAGCAATCTGAGCTTCCCACAGTGATCAGGGCCAAGGGCAGGAGGGGGCCCACGGTGGATGAGAAGGTCCTGGTATGGGAAAAGCTGAGAATCACTGCTATAGGAAGGAAAGCAGGACTTATAGGATCATCTGCTTCAGAGATGTCCAGCCTTTTGGCTCGTCGGAGCCACATTAAGTGAATGGCAGTTGTACTGGGCTGCATACACAGAGGTTGCTCCAAAAGTTATGCCTCCTGTTTACTTCCATGGAAAACTACAACTGGAACAAAGAGCACAACAGTGCTATTTGATAGAGCCAAATCTCAGCTACAAGACTATTTTTTAGCATAGTTGCCACCATTAGCTCTGCATTTTCACCAGCATTGAACAAGAGCCTACATGCCACACTTGTAAAATTCTGCACCAGTGGAGGTAACCACTGTCACCACTGCTGCAATGCAGCCCACTCACTGCCTCTCTGAGTTGGTCTCCATAAATATTCAGCAGATGTCAATGAATGTCATTTTTTCCTCACGGAGGAATTTGATGTCACGCTTTTGCTCCATATGCACTTCCGTGTCAGGTGCCATTCTGCCAGACTGCCTCTCTGCTGCCGTATGTCACACAGCAACAGGAATATCGGTGGGAAGGTTCAGCCTTTGCTGCCAAAACACCAACACAACTCCAGCTCACCTATTCTCTTTCCCCTTTGGCAAAAACCTGGAGGCATTGTGGAATTGTTCTCCCTCAGTGCTAACAAGCCCGGGTCATTGTCAGCTGTGCTTCTGACAGGATAACAAGTGCAGCATGATAATATTTAGCATATTAAAATACTTTACGAGAACTAATTAATACATTTACATAATGGTCCCAAGAGACCCTCTGATCACCAGTTACCACTTAGGAGTTCAGCAATAGTTCTTTCAGGCACATGTGAAGCAGACAGTGCAGCTCCTGCTGTCCTACATCACTCCCATCCATGCTGTGATACTCCAGGTGAACATTACTTACTTATTTACTCTGGAACAGGTTGCCCAAGGAGGCTGTGGATGCCTAGGGGCATTCAAGGCCAGGCTGGATGTGGCTCTGGGCAGCCTGGTCTGCTGGTTGGTGATCCTGCACATAGCGGGGGGTTGGAACTGGATGAACATTGTGCTCCTTTGCAACCCAGGCCATTCTAGGATTCTATGATATGATTCTATGATTCTTACCATAGGAAGGCCCTGTCCTGAGCAAAGCCCAGTGTCAGCACCACCAAAGCAGGACTCGGAATGGTGCATCAGCCTGCTGCAGTGGGCAGAGCGTCTTGAACAGCATTGCTGCTCATAGTGATCTGATGCTCTAAGGAGGTTTTCCCTCATTTCCCAGTCCAAAAGATGCTCTGTCTCTACCTCGGAAGACTGAAGGTACTATCTTGTCTCCTGTCCTTTGCACACAGTGACCTCCCCAAATCACCTGTTGCTCCTCACGTCCTTTTTGGCTATAAACAGCACTGCAGCTGACAAATCTGCAGCCCACAGAAGTGCTCCTTCGGAGATACTGCTCTGGTGTTCCTGTGCTGCTGACTCAGGAAGGAGTTTTCCCCTGCTTACTCTTAGCGCGTTTCACCTGATTAACGATTCAGTCTTTTTGCTTCGAGCATAAATCACCCTCCAGAGCAAGCCTTGCTAGAAAGCTTTCTCTGGCCCCAATTAAAACGAATCTCTGGAATTATAAACAGTGGATCAGCAAGGAAAAACAGGACTGAGATTTGTGAGCCAGCATTCTCTCTGCCCTCCTAATTCCTCAATTTATCACGGGAGGAGTGGATACCGGCAAGGTAATTACTGACTGCAAAGCCTTGCCTTTGATGGCAAGGAATGTATGGAAGTTGCATCTGCACACCATGTGAAGTCATGAAGAAATGACTCAATAACCCTCACAAAGCAGCTCTCACTGGAACCCTTGGAAGGACCTGAGACAAGTCATCGGACCCGAACCCAAGCTCCCTCTTTTCGTGAGCATCGATTTACATCAACCTTCAGACACAGCCCTGATTTTTCTGTCTTGAAGCTGCTTTCAGGGCAGACGGCTCTGTCCCCTGGTAGCGTCGATGCAGAAGTGGTACAGCAGTCTCACCCCGCCACTGACCCCATCCTGACTGCAAAGACACATTCGAGCTCTTAGCACCCCATAGCAGGAAGAGCAGCAGTAACAAAGCCCCATTCATGCAGCGCGATCAATCAATCACTATTTTGCAGGAGGAAATGAATGGCCCATTAAGGAAGCAGTCGGTAACCTCAGCTTCCCCGTAATTGCATTCAGTCCTACGCTGCCTGGCGTCCCGGGGATTTCAACTCTAAGGACAGACCAGAGGTGGGGCCGTTAGGAAGAAGAAGGGTGAGCAAAAGCAAGGCAGCAAACCCAGCCCAGTCAAGCAAACCTTGCATATGGCAGCGGTCAGGTAAGGGCAGAGGAAAAGGAAGATCAGCCTTCCTCTGTTCCTGCTTGGTGGGAGAAGCACCTGCTTTGTTCCTTATTAATGCATAGTCACAGTTTACACAGACTGTATCTTGTAGTCTCACAGACATTTGCAAATCTTAATTAAGCTACACATTGAAAGTAGGTTCATAGCTCCGACGAGGATCCTGCACCTGGGGAACGCAGCTTTCCTTCAGGAGAGATGGCAGAAAAATGCATTCCACCACTGCTGGATGCAAGAGGCAACACCTCATGATAATCCAGTATGGCTGCAGTAGGAACTCATGATTGCAGCTGAGATGTGGGACAGGTCAGAGCTGGAAGGACTCTTAGCACCACTGACACCCACTGCTCTGCGTGTGCTGCCATAACTGCAGCAAGGTTTGGGCTTTTACTTCCTATTTTTTCTTTTTTTTTTTTTTTTTTTTAAGTTTTCTTTTTTTTGCTTCTTTTTAACAAACCTCGAGTGGGCATGGGAGAAACCAAGATGAAAGCCAAGCAGCTAGGGAACAGCCAATGGCTGGAGCTGTGAAAAACTTAAGGGTGAATCTTCTCCACCCACATCTTTTCTTGGCTGCTAACCTGCAAAAGGACAGCCAGCTCTTCAACCAGCAGAGCAGCACGGGGATGGGGCTGAGGAAGAGGGGCAGAGCTGGCTGCAGGCACCAGATGTGGGAAGGCTGCAAAGTGGTTTGGTAACACTGCAGGCAGCACGCTGCAAGTAAACCATCCAGAGATCCTCCAATCCAACAAAGAACCCATCAACCATTGAAACCCAACCAGGTTTGGGGGTCTCAGGCAAGGCCTGACGTTGTACAGCAAATGCATGCTGCATTTTCATCCAGGCATCTATTTCCAATTAGATGAAGGGACATCTAAAATGATACTATAATAATTTTCAAGGCAACCCCCACAATCAATACCCCAGTACTAAACTCTGGGTGTTTTTTTTGCATGTGGTACAAAAAGCAGTTTGGGAGAAAATGATCTAATACACCACATATTGATTAATCAATCCCAGGCAGGATGCTAATGGGCTTTTCTTACAACAGTTGGCAATAGAGGAAGGAGTGGGATTGTTGAATGAGAGTGGGAGAACCATGTTGTGTGATAAAGTTTCAGGGCAAGGGGATGCAATGGGGAAATGGGCCCTTCTAGAGATCACTTTAAGCAGGTAAGGACTTGGAAGAAACGGAGGAACTGAGCTATGAATGGTAATAAATCAGATATATCAGCTTCAAGCACTGACGATTTGTACCTTGCAATTTACTGTGGTTGGTATTAATAATACTTCCCTGTTGCTACAGAAACCCTCACGGGAAGGCCTGCAGAAGAGCCCAGCATGGGACCAAAGCCTATAATGAAGTAGATGGAATATTTTGTAGTCTTACCAGTCAGGGAAATGGTCTATTAATGCCTGCTATGTTTTATTTTCCACACTGGCACTTCTGCCTAAGACAGGACGTGGTAATTCAGATCATCCACGCATAGCTGTCAGGCCTTCCTTTCTTCCACAGCCAACAGAAAGAAGCAGCTGATGCAGTCATACATTGCTAAGTCATCGCCATTCCTAAAGTGAGCTGAAAAGTGCTGTGTCCTTTGCGCCCCTGTACTGGATAAAGTCCTTTACTATCCTAGGAAATGGAAGTGCAAAACACGAGGATCATCCTTCAGACCTGTTACACCCACTATGAAAATATGGGAAGAGCTTAACAAAGCATGAAAGTGGGGACAGCTCTGCAACAGGCACAAGGTCCCCATTGATTCTCAAAGACTCAAAAAGGAGCCCCCCCCCCCCCCAAAAAAAAAAAAGCCAAAAAAAGCCAAACAAATTGACTTCTATTTTTCCCTGCACAAACGTTCTCAAACTAGTGCAGTGCATTCCAGCACCCAGGAGCCCTACAGCCCCAGCTGCAGACTCACATTGTAGAGGATGTCGGTCCATCCCTCCATGGTGATGCACTGGAAGACGGTGAGCACAGCAAAGAGGATGTTGTCAAAGTTGGTGATGCCATAGTTGGGCCCTTGCCAGTATTCCCTGCAGGTGGTCCCACTCTCGCATTGCCTGGCAGGAGGCTCCTCTCCGCAAGGAAAATCTCCCACCTCTTCACCTGTGCAGGAGAACAGAGGGAGAAAAGCTTACTGATCAAAGCCAGCTAAGCAGCTGGAACTGCTGGATCCTCTTTGCACCATGAGATGAACCTGGTTTGTGTTTCACAATTCCTTGGTGCCACTCTGGGCATGTAAAAGATGTTACACTCGGGCAAGCATTTATATACTGCCATGCTTTAAGGGGCTGTTAAGTGGCAGAGCAGAGCAGAACTACCTCTGAACTGCCCACAGTTTGCCCCAGTGCTCAGCCACATCATTTACAGAATCATAATCATCCGGGTTAGAAAGATCTTCAGGATCACCATGTCCAACCTGACCTACTGAGTCCCATCACTGACCCATGCCTCTTGGTGCCACCAATGAGAAGCAATATGGAAAAGAAATAGTACAGTAAAACAAAATCAAGGGTTTGGAAATGGCTGCGTGCAAGAAGATGCTGTGAGATACGGATGCAGCTTCACACAGCATAGCTAATTGCTCAGCTGCAGTCTCATTGTAAGCTCCATGTTTCTACCCCAAGGTCAAAGACAGCATCCAGCAGCAGGGATGGGGCTGCTCCACTGAGCTTTGGTTCAGGCAATGCAAAGGGGGAAGCAGTCTGCAATGGTTCAGGGCCATTGGGGATGGCCAAAAGTGTCCCACGTCTTCCAGTGCCAGCTGTGAGTCATTGCATCCCTCCAGAGACATCATGAGTGCCAGCAGAGAGCAGTTTGGAAAAATAAAGTGCTGGCTTTTCAAAGTAAATAAATACACCAAGCAACGTCCCTGCTTACAGAGTTGCAATTCTGGAAATATTACATGGTTTTAAAAGCGACACGATATGGTGTTGGAGCAGCAAACTCCACAAAATCAAATTCACCAGGGGGAGGAAACAAAATCAGCACTAACAATAATTAGGAATGATCATTCCACAGAGCAAAGCCTGCAGGAGGAAAACAAACCCATCAGCGTGGCTGCAGGATGTGGATGTGTGTGTAAGTGCAGCCTTTTCCTGTTGACTCAACACCTCAATGCAGGGCATCGCTCTCCAGCTCCCACCCTGGTCACTGCAGGCTTTGGGAAGGGGTTGGTGAGACAGGGCTGTGCAAAGAAATATCAAACCTGGCTCTTGATGACCATCTGTGAGCTCTAATAGAGAATCTCTCTCTTTGGCCTTTTGCTGCTCTAAAAAAGCAATGAGTTTTTTCTCTTGGAAAGAAAGACATAGACAGAGCAGAATTGGTCCCTACCCCCATAGCTGGGGTAAAGAGATGAGGAAAGGGAGCACACCAGGGAAAAAATGGGAAGTAAATGTGATGTCCTTTGTTTTTTTTAGAGCAGATTCAGAGTGTTTGGCCTGAGTGAGATGCAGAGGACGACTGCTTAAAAACTGTCCTGTGTCTGCAGAGCAAGATTGCACAGAGGCTGCCAGGAGAGGAAAACAAGTCTGGCACCCACCAGACAATACACAGCTACTAATTTTTTAATCCATTTCTCAGGCCAGCCTCAAATGTCAGCCTCAAATGAACTTTTTGCCATATTTCGGTCCCCAGAATCCCTCTGTCATAGTCTGTTCTTGCAGGGCTTCCGGGCTCACAGGTCTACAGCAACGTTGACTGCTGACACTTCCACTTTCTTCCCTCCACGACATGAATTCATGACTGATAGCCCTCATCTGCTCCCCAATCCCAGGAAAAAATCTCCAGAGATTTCTCACTTGGAGGATTTGGATAGACACCAATGTGAGCAAGTCCTCATCCACCCATTTGCGACCCTTTGACACGGGTCATCTTTTTAACGAGGTTCACATTTGCATGCTGAAGTCAGCTGTCTGAGCCCGTGGTCTCAGGCCTGTGCTCGTTAATGCACCTCTTCGGATCTGATGAGCACTTAGGGTTTAAAAGGCTGCGCTGACAGCATTGTGGGATGCTCTGCTGCTCCACTCAGGGACTGCAGAGCCAGGAAGCCTCGCTGCCTTTCCAGAAGCATCATTTCCTGCAAAGCAGGTGGCATCGATCCCCATAATTCACCCTACAACGAGGGGAGGGGAAAAACAGGGTTCAGTGCCCGTAAGCAGAGCCGCTTTCTGCACTGCTGAGATGCCAGGTGCTGCAGGGCAGAGGTGTGACATGCAGCATTTTCTGGCTGCACTCCCAATTCCTGGCTGGGGGTCACTCAGCAAGCAGCAGTCGCTTGCACACCATGGGGCACAGTGACAAAATCTGTTCTCAGCCCCCAGCTTGGCACTGAGACCTCTCAATCACCGCTGATGTCACGGTTGTTTGCAGAGAACAGAGTGCTGGGGTTTGTTTTTCCATTCCAAGCTAACTAGTTTTCTGGGGAGGAAATATGAATATATCTGTTTTATTTTGCCCACTGGCTGCAGCCACCCCAGCAGTGAATGAACTGCAGAGCCCAGTGCTCCCAGCCTGCAAGCCGAGGATGCAAGAACTCACCCAGCTCAATCTAGGGCTGCAACGCAAAAAATCTGAGAATGCTGCTCAAACTGCAGATCTTTTCTTCTTGTTATTCTTAAGTGTTTTCTCCTTGCCATCTCAGCGAGAGCATTGCTACCTCCTGCACCTCTGTGGTCACTGTTATTGCTGTTCCTCTGCAGTCGTTGCAGTGAGATGAAACCTTTTCTGCTTGGCACCAAAACACACACACAGCAAAGCAGTTTTCCTCTCCTATCTCTCCAGCCCAAAAACGTCTCTGATCAGTTGGACACCAGCACAGGCTGCCCAGGGGGGAGGTGCAGGTGTTCCAGAACTGTGGAGATGTGGCTCTGAGGGACGTGGTTTATGTTGGCAGTAGGTGGATGGTTGGGTTGGATGATCTTAGAGGTCTTTTCCAACCTCAGTGATTCTATGAAACTCCATCTCTTCTAGGAATCACTCTGCTGCTCACCAACAAATCTCTAAACACCCAACTGTCCTGTACAAGCTGTGTTCTGTTTTGTTAATGTTTCTTAGGAACATAAGCAAAAAAACAATTTCTCCCTCTTTTTGCTAAACTGTGTAAACTGAATATATTAAACTGTTTCCATGTTGTTTATTATAAACCCTCATGAAGGATGCCCAGAGATTTGGCTGGGATGTTCTTTTATTACCATTTGAATGCACATAATAAATCAATATGAAGACCTATTAGTGATAATCACTGAAAATACAAGACTGTGCTTTAAAGACAGTCAATTATACCTTAAATTGCATCTTTTGGAGACAGGAACAATATTTTCATCTGTGGTTAGTCCAGATAATCAGCACCTATTAGCGCTATTATAGCAGGAATATTTAAAAATTGCATGGAAAAAAAAAGGCTTTTTTATTTTAATTGAAATGAGTTCAGTGAAGCTGAGCACCTGTTGCACTGCCAGCGCTGCATGGTGCCTGCTCCTGCCCACCTCATTCACCTTCAGGAGTGCTCCCTGCTCTGCTCTGTTTGAAGGGCATTTTTAACCTTTCTCCATCAGAGGGCTCCTTGCTTTTCATCTATTTACCTATTTGTTTTTTTTTCAATTTTTGGAATTGCTCCCAACCTTTTCAATATTACCAATGGCACTGACATCCTCTGCTACCCATACAACTTGTCCAAGAGATCTTGCAAGCAAATTTCCCTTTTGCTGCAGTTTGCAGAGCTAAACCCACTGATACCAAGCAGAGACCAACAAGTTGAAATAAAAAGCTGCCCTTCAGAGGGCTGCAACCATTGAAATTTGTTTCTTTATATGTATTATATGCCTCTCTGGAGGTGCCTGTGGCCATGGATAGAGTCCTGGGCTGCCTGGTCTGGTGGGGGGCAACCAGCCCATGGCAGGGCAGTTAGAACTGGGTGATCTTTCAGGTTGCTTCTAACCCAACCATTCTATGATTCTGTGATGATTGTGAAACAAATCAGGAGGCCCTGAACACCCTTGTATCATTCTTGGGTAGACTGACAGCAGCACCGAGAGCTGGTGTTGAAGTGGCAGGAGGATCCATCCCAGGGTGCACAGGGTGAACAGAAGTCTGTTAACTCAGTAAAGATGGGAAAGGAAAAGCCACGTGAGAACAGGATAGGGATAGGAATCTTATGGAGATGGATAAGATAGAAATGGAGATGGAAAGCATGGGATCTCTGAGTGCCACGAGATACACTGGGATGGCAGCAAAGCTCCAAACTCACCTGTCTCATTAGAGAAGCAGGTTTTGTGAAACTTCCCCATGTAGAATTCCAAGCCGATGATGGCAAACATCACGATGGCAAAGAAGAGGAGCAGCCCAATCTGAAGCAGAGGCACCATTGCCTTCATGATGGACTTGAGGACGACCTGCAGACCTGCAGGGACAGGGAAATACAGGTCATCAGGGAGGGAAGGAAAATGAGGGCTGGAGCAGGGGGGTGAGGCAGGGGACACAGGGCATCTAAGGGACAGATTAGGACTTGAACTCCGTGCAATGCTGCTTTCCTAGGGCGCTGTAAAGAAACCTTCACACGCTCAATATTTCAGACGCGGAAGCAGGGAAGTTATCTTTTTCCAATCTCCTTTCTTCAGATCCCAGATTCAAAGGTCTCTTAAGCTTCAGAGACTCAAAAGGACTTTAAAAGGACATTCCCTGCAGTTGGTGGAGTCCCCAAATTCAGCTGGGGGCCAACTTACAGCCAAGCCCTTACAGCATTTCCCCTGACAGTGCAAGTTGCCTGAGGTCTGCTTCCACAAGACCAGCACAGAAGCAAAAGGAACAAAACCAGACTCAAACATTCTCCCAGGGTTCTCCATCTACAGCTTTTTCACAGGCACTAAAACTCATTTTCAATTAAAACCAGGGGAGATAAGGCTAGAGAGGCAGGCGAGATGGAGGTGTCAGATAACGTCATGCAGACGCACATAACAAAATAAATTCAGCGATAACTGGCAGCTGAAAGCCACCTTGGTGGCCTGCTGTAAGGTGCTGAGAAGGAAGGGCCATTGCTGTCTCACCACTTTGCACTGCTGAGGGCACTCTGAGGGCAATACAGGATAAAAAAAAAAAAAAGCATTGAGATCTGTTGGAGAGGAAACAGTACCTAGAGTGTAGAAGAAAAGCATGTAAGACGATTGCGTGGATGAGCATTCAGTTTTACATTTACTACAGGGGGAAAAATACACAGTGCTCACAGCTTTCAAATCAAATAATCAAATAAAATCAAATAATGCCATATAGGAAAATATCGTTGCCCGAAGAGGTGGTGCTGCCCCAGCCATGCAGACACCCAAGATGAGGCTGGACGGGGCTCTGAGCATCTACTGGAGTTATAGGTGTCCATGTTCATCACCAGGGGTTGGACAAGATCACTTATAAAGGTACCTTCCAACTCAAGAGATTCTATGGTTATGATTGTGCAGGTCCAGGGCATGCCAGCAGATGGGAGAGCACACCTTACCCAGATAACAACACCTCAAGGAATCACAGCCCCTAGCAGGGACACCAGGGCCTGGCATTTCTGTAAACACATCATCACTTGAGCCCTTTATTTTTTTTCCTCGACACTCAGTGAGCTGATACTTGTGTTGGCTGGAAGTAATTTAAGTCAACATTCCCTGACTTGAAGCCCTTTTCCCCATAGCAGTCATTAGCAGAAGCAATATCTTTTATTGAACTGACTGCAGTACGTGGAGGAAGAAGACAATATTTCAGGTGCACAAGGTACATCCTGAGCTACCTGAATAAAAATTATATCAGATAATAAAATAAAATAAAAAATCAGCTTTTCCCCCAGCTTTATTTCTCCAGCATCCTTGGACGCGGACACAACAAACATACAGCATCTCCTTTTTAGATGTATGTTAGTAAGTAGTGCCTTTCTTAGAGCTAATCAAGGACCTGACCTATTTGGGCACTCAGACTAAAGCCTTGCCCATGAAAGGATGCTGATCTGGGGAAAATTTGCTGTTAGTGCATAGTGTAAACCTTTGCTTCATATCTACAGCAGTGGCGTTTTGATCCCGAGGTAGCAGCCGGCCAGCAGGCAAGGAGTTAATGCAGAGCAGAGCATCCCCTGAGCTAAGGGGTTTCCTTTCACTGGCTCTTGCTGGAGAGAAGACATCTCTGTTCCACATCCAGAAATGAAAGACGCTCCTGACAGCCTACTGTGCAGAGCAACTGGTGAACAAGGACAAAGAATCATAGAATCACAGCATCTCCAAGAAATGGAGAAACTGGAAAAGACCTCCAGGAGCATCCAGTCCAACCGTTCACCTCTCACCAATATTTCCCACTAAATCTTCGCCCTCAGTACAACATCTAAATGTTTCTTGAACACCTCCAGGGTCAGAGACTCCACCACCTCCCTGGGCAGCCTGCTCCAGTGCCTGACCACTCTCTCAGAGAAGAAGTTTCTCCTGATTTCCAGCCTAAATCTCCCCTGGCACAACCTGAGGCTATTCCCTCCTGTCCTATTGCTCAAAAAGAGCAGCAAGGAGTGGTGTTGGTGCTGGGTGGCCTCAAGCTGTAAGCAAGGCACGATTTATCCTCATTATACCCTTCACATCAGCATGTAAAATAGACCAAGTTGCCAATGAGAAGGTAAGACTGAGTCCTGTCTGTTCCTTGCCTTAGGATTTTTCCCTCTGTGAGTTACTGGGCTGGTAAATCAGTCAGAAGTTCCAAGGTCAGGGCAAGGGGTCTGAAAGCTGTAAATTTCTGTTCTCAGAGCTTTGTATGTGAATTGAAACAGTTCAAACCCAACGACAAAGGAGTCCCAGGACAACACCCTGCCATGCACCAACAGAATTCAGGAACTCCATCAGATGGCCGTACCAAAACTGGGACAGCAAAAACCCGAAGCCTTGGAAGTGTGAGGGAAGAACATATTGTTCATAAAAGCATGTTAGACCCCAAAAGGTATAGAAGCCATTTGGCTGTGAAGGCGACAGGTTCATGGCACTCACTTGGGATTCCTGACACCAGCTTCAGCGGCCGCAGCACACGGACGGCTCGCAGGGTCCGCAGGTCGAAGTCGGTCCCAGCAGTTGCTAGAATCCTAGCATTCAAAGAAGAGAAGGGAAAGAGAAAGGAAAATGGGATTAAAAATGCAAATTCCTGTTTCCAAAGCATGGATTTGGGGCATTTTTCAGGCTGCTTCAGTTTTTATACCTGTCATTCATTGGATCTGCTGAAAACCAATAATTTGCGTGCTCCTCCTGAGCTGAGCTTTACTCAGACATGGGAAAATCCACAACACCTTTATGAGGCTGTTTGCATTTAGAGTGGGTCTGGCTCTGGCCCTTGTGAAACAGCACCCTGTACTTAGAGAACACGTGCCATTTTAAGACAGTAAGAGGGAAAGAACCCCCTCAGCTGTGCTAGAAATTACCTGCCAGAGCCTTTTGCAATAAATTCAGAGATCCCTCAGGTACCCATACCCTGTGTTTCATAATATTTAAAGAAGTTTCTGCTTATACAGTTTATCTCTGCCAAATTAATTTTTGCTCAGGGAATCTTATTTGAGGAGAACATCCAGAGAGTAAGGCGCGTTTCCTCTGATATGCTCACATGGCCCTAAGAAGAAATACAGGTCCCAAAACCAAATTCTTGAAAATGGAGTAGTTTCAGAAAATGAAATCACATTGGTGTTTCAGGATGCAGTAAAGGAAGAGAATAATAAAATCACAGGATCAGTAAGGTTGGAAAAGAGCTCTAAGATCATCTAGACCAACCATCCATCATCAAACATTGCACAGTAAACCATGCCCCTTGGTACCACATCTACAGGTTTCTGGGACACCTCCAGTGATCCCCCACCTTTAGGGCAGCCAGTGCCAATGCATCATCACTCTTTCAGAAAAGAAATTCTTCCTGACATCCAACCTGAACCTCTCCTGAAGGTTCTACAGCTAGATGGTTGAACCTTCAACCATCTACAGCTCAACTGGGTGTTTGGAGCCCCATCCAGCCTGACCTTGGATATCTCCAAGGATGGGACACCCACCATCTCTCTGAGCAACCTGTGCCAGTGCTTCAGTACCTTCATGTAAAAAACGTCTTCCTTACACTCAAGCTCAAACTCCTCTCTTTTAGTTTGAATTCATTTCCCATTTTCCATTTCCCTCACAGCAACACACAGAAACACTGTGAGAGGTGTAGAGCACCCGAGATCAGCCTCCACCTGCCCGTTTTGCTCAGTGCCTGATAATGTGTAGCTGATCTCTCAGCCAAGTGGACAGCTGCCATAAAAACACAAAATCAGAGTTATGCAGAAGGAAACATGTAGTTTTATTATGTAGTATGTATTATGCAGGATGTCTGGCAAAGTGGGCCATGGAAAATGTGGCCATGCCGGATGGGGCTGTGCTCACAGTTTCCAGAATAAAAGCCCTGTCCTTGACTTACTGACTGACTTAGTGCTGCTGCCAAGTGTGGGCCAGGGAAGAGCAGGCTCAGCATTGCTGTGCGGAAAGGGCCAGACTCAATCAGCAGGAGGTGCTGGAGATCAGGAAAAAGCATGCTGAGATGCTGGATGGCAGCAGAGGCAGCAGCAAGCCAGAACCTGAGGAGCAGAGTATCTATTCTATGGGACACCTGTTCCTGCATTTCCACGACCTGAAAATTCGTGTTACATCAGCTCTATTGGTGCAATTTGAGCAGAAGCAACAGGAGATGATTTAAACCAAGGGCTATTGTATTCAGAGACTTTAATTTCACTTTCTGCTCTCATGCCAATGATTTTGCTCCTCTTTTCCCTTCCTTGCATCCTCACAATATAATTGCTTGCTTATAAACCTCAGCAGCCAGGGAACCATGCACACTTCACACTGAAAGATAATCTTGAACATCCACCTGAGGTGTTGCTGCTAAAAGCACAATTAGTCTCCAGTGAGCTAAGATGGATTTGTGCTGTCATCAGGCAGGTTTGTGCCATGGGCTGAATGGGAGGGGGGATACTCTGTATGTTCATTAATTTGCTTGTGAGCTCATCAAGGACAAAAGAGGAGTAAGTGTGGGACACCATCAAATAGTCCCAGGGCATCAATGGATGAAGGTCTTCATTCCAGTCCTGTCTTCTTCAGTGGTCTTGGTATTAAAAAAACAACCCATGGCAACCTCCCCTAGTCAAAAACCCTAAGTATTCATTAATTCCCACATCACTAATGCTGTAATTCCCTAGCTAAATAATATAGGGCACACTACACCCTGCCATCTCCTGTAGTTGCAGAGCTGATCCATGGATCACGTCAAATCTCAGTCTAATCTTGTGACTTGTCCATGTCTACATGGCTGAGCTGTAGCTGCCAACTCTGTTCATGAATCAGCCACACTGGAAGACCCTAAAACCCCAGACGGATTTTGCCTAGAGAGAGAAATACACAGCAGCAAGCTAAATAATGCCACTTCCAGTGAAAGAAATGGATGAACAAGGGTACGAAGTGGTAAAATAGACAACAGCTCTGGGTCTAAAAGCCCTCAGTTGAGACTTGCAGGTAAATGAGACAGGTGGTGAGAAAGCCCAGGTGGGTGTTGAGCCTTGAGCAATGCATTTTGCACAAGGACAGCCAGGTGCTGCAGCCTTGTAGGCTTTGCAAACAGTTTGGCTCTGGGAAAGTGACAGGTAGGATCTGGGGCTGACTGCAGCAACACGACTCATCCTGGCCTGGGGCTCCTGAGACATTTCTGGAACTGCTTTACACTGACAAAAGGCTGTTTACACCAGCAGTCGCTTGTTGCCAGCTCCCCTCTCACAGCCTGGATGGTGGGAGAAATTGGAAACCATTGCTGGCGCAGACAGGTGGGGAGGGTCTGCTCCAACCCAAGTCTGAGGGTTCACATCTCCTGTAAAACACACTGCAGCTCTCTTTGCATTTGTTTGAGTGCAACAATACCTCTGTGCCTTTTCCCTTTTGTACAGGCAGGCCATCAGACCTTTCTTCCTCATATGCTACTGCCGCTCTAGGGATCTGGGCACGGATCCTGCTAGCTCAGCAGTGCTCAGGGCTGCTGCACGCTGCTCCTCATGTAATATGAAGCTGGCTGCACACAGCGCTCTGTACCACCACCTCCACACTAACAAGCTCTGACATCTGCTCCCAGACACAAAGGCCAAATTTGTGATAAATGCCCAAAATCTTTTGTTCTAAGAAAACCTGGAGTCAGTTATAAAAAGAGCTCATTCCTCTGGGTATAAAAGGATGCAAGGAACAGAGGGGAAGTGTCCTTCCTGAACATTATGCTAACATAAATAATTAGCAATCCGCTTCTGGAAGTACCTGAGAGCTCAGTATTTCTGTGCACTGGCTCCACAAGACACATTACCACGCGATGCTGCACATTTCTGAGCTGCCTCATATCACTGCTACCTCCTGTTATCACTGCCCATAAATCACACTGGAGGCCACAAGAGATGCTCGCCACAGAACTGGAGCTGGCTGCGAGTCCAGCAGCTTCGGTGTGTCTGCTTGCAAGCAGATAACACAAAACTACAGCAAACAGCAGCAAGATAAAGAACAGAATTATTAACACTTCCAAGTAGGTGTCTCTGCTGGACAACACCGGGTTCTGCTAGAGGAGAAATCACTGGTATAAACATAGGCATTTTTTAATGGAATCTTTTCATTTATAGTAAACTCTAGTCCTAGAAAGTGGAAAGAGCAATTTTTTCAGACATCTTATCAGAAAAAGAAAAGCCCATTCATAAGAACTGAGTCAAACTCTTCAGTGGGATTAGGAGAGAGATTAAATACTGATGAGACAGCTTTCCTGGAGGGAAAAAGAAGAAAAGAAAAAGATCCAGTTTGCAAGAAGCACAGAAGCCTCCTTGTGAAGAGAAACAGCAACTACCAAATTATACCCATGGAATCAACCCCTCCTAACACAGACAGCTTGGCAGCACTGACCCCAAAATATGGGGCCACAGTGATTTCCAGGTCCTTCACCAACACTGAAACCAATGGGAAGAAGGAGAAGTGGGCTTTTCTTCTCTATCTTGAAGGAGCCAATACTGATGGCTGTCAGCTGTGGTAGCTCTTCAGAAATATTGGCCAACCAGTTTAAAGATGCTTTCCCTTTCTATGGGCGGCCGGTGGCTGGTTGCCATCTCTACCTGTGGTCTTCCCCTTGTATTTCTGCCTGATTTCTCCTCCAGGAGACAGAAACAGACCCCAGCCCCATGGCAGCTGACACCACCACCAGGATCACTGCCACTGTGCTTGCAGTAGATGGATGTCCCAGTGCTGGAGAACCCACAAGCAACCATCTAAACGCTTGACAAATTTACAGCTTAAGTTTGTTGGAAAGAACTATACATGCATGTTGAAATGAAAGATCCTATCAAAAAGTTTCATTGCCTTAAGAAAAAAAAAAGTCCTTTCAATTCATATTAACCAGACAGGCCTTTTATTGGGTGCGTTTCGAATGGCTACGATGTCCATCCAGCACAGCAAATGGCTCTGCTCTGACTCAGGCACCAGCCCACTATCATCACATTTCTGGACTGATTACTTCAGATGCTGTAGTAGCAATTTGGAAGGGAATCAGCCTTATCTGGGGTCAGAACCAGGCCAAAGGACTCCTGACTTTCTAGGTTTTGGGCTCTAAACTAAAGGAGCATTGACACACGTATACACCAACCAGTCCAATGTGAGAAGCATACACTCATGAAATACCCGCAGTTCCACAAGGAGTCACAAAGTACACCTTTCGTGGTGTCAGGAAAATTAACATAAGCTTCATCCACAGGAAAATGAAAAGCTGTGACAACTGATTGAAACTGGATGCAACATCCACAGGAGCCATAAAAGCTTATTACCCAGCAAGTCAGATTCTTATTGTATATCAGACGACATAGCATTATAATCCTATCGGCTCTGTGGCACTCTCCAACAAGCAAATCCTGCTGCTCCATACTGCACAACCTCTGTGCTTGCCACTAGACCACTTTTCCTGACCCTGGAAGGAGCAGATGTCCGTAGTTACGGAGGAGGATGGAACATCTCCATCACTGAGCTGAACACTCAAGCAGCACCTCTTCCCCAGCCTTCCTTTAGAACTCACAACCTGAGCTGCAGTGCGAGCCAAAATCAGATCGTGGATCCCACTGCCAGCCCTGCTTCTCCCAGCTGCAGCACAAAGCTGCATGCAGGCAGGGCTGAGAGCTGCTGGAAAGATGCCCTCTTTCACTCCATTTGATTTCACGGTGCGTAAGCTTTATCTTGACTACCAATGACACACAGTCAACACCGGGTCGGATCCGATAAGTAGATGTGGCATGCTAATTGCACTGATTAATTCATGGCATGAACAGGTCCCACTGTTGGCTCCAGCACTCCACATCGGTGACGTCCCCACCAGCTGTGCCTGGGCCTTTCCATATGGAAGGACCCTGCTTGCCAGCTCTCTGCCTCATAGGATGGCCAACACCAATCTCAGCATCCAAATACCTGCAGGTCTAAGCTTACTCCTTCCCCTCAAAGCACACCTACAACAGCGTATAAAACATCCCAACTCTTTCCTTTGTAGGCATCACTGAATTTGTCACCGGCTTTCAGCTTACAGAATGCAGCCTGGAAACCAGTTCAACCTCTTTGCATGGCAGACATGCTCCAGAGTCCTAGGAAGAGACACAGCAAAATGAGAGCAGAATTACTGCTCCCCTCCCCAAACCACCTGCAACCTATTTTCCCGACTGTAATTCCTGAACAAGGCTCCAGGGAGATAAAAGGGAGAGGAGCATCTGTAGGCATACGCTCCTCTGCTATA